CATATAATGTTCTACCATGTGATTTGCTTTGGCCATAAAATGTAAGTGAAAATTATGTGTACCACTCCTAGCAGATGTGTTTTAAGGAGTTTCCACTGTACCTCTTACCCTCTGTCATGAATCCAGTATGTCCTAGATAGGGGTCCTGGATTGAAGAGATGTGGACCAAAAACTTACCCAACTTACAGCTTAAGATGAAAATGAATCTTAGCAAGAAATAAACCTTTGTCGTTACAATGAATGGATGAAAGAGAGGGAGAGAGAGAAAATGGTCTACATACCCCAATTAAAAGGCAAAGATTGTATAAAAAGCAGGAGTCCCTGAGTGGTACAAACGGTTAAGCACTGGGCTAGTGACTGGTTCGAATCGCCAAGAAAGTCCTGGCAATCTGCTTCCAAAAGGTCACAGCCATAAAAATCCTATGGAGCACAGTTCTACTCTGACAAACAGTTCTACATGCCAAACTACAACAAACACTGACTCAATGGCAAAATTGCTTTATTGATTGGTAAAAAAAACAAGACACAACTATATGTTCCCAACAGATGAACTTTAAAGATAAAGGAAAAATACAGTTTAAAAGTAAAAGGGTAAAAAATCTAAACATTATCCAAAAAAAGCTACAGTAGCTATATTAATATGTGACAAAGTAGATTTCCAAGGAAAGAATATAACCAGAAATAAAGAAGATCATTTAACGAGAGGACATCACATCCTAAATGTTTATAGACCTAATGACAGAACTTCAAATTACATGAAGCAAAGACCGATAGAATTTAAAAGAAATGGACAAATCCACAATTACAGCTGAAGGTTTCAATAGCTTCTCTCAATAACTGATAGAACAAGCAAACAGAAAATCACTAAACATAGCAGATTTAAACTACAGTATCAACCAACTTGAACCAATTGACTTTATAGAACATTGTATGTCACTTTGAGGACTAAGGTAAGTCTAACCCCAGCCACGGTCTTTTCAATCGCCTCATATGCAAAAGCTGACAATGAAAGACAGAAGAACCAACACACTCGAATTATGGTGTCAGCAAAGAATATTAAATATACCGTCGACTGCCAAAAGAACAAACAAACCAGTCTTAGAATAAACACAACCAGAATGCTCCTTAGAAGCAAGGATGGCTAGACTTCGGCTCACTTACTTTGGACAATTGCTAGAAAAGGACATCTTGTTTGGTAAAGTAGAGGGTCAGTGAAAACAAGGGAAAATCTCAATGAGATAGAATGACACAATAGCCACAACAATGAACTCAAACATACTAACAATCATGAAGATGGCACAGGACTGGGAAACACTTCGTTCTGTTATATATTAAGGTCGCCATGATTCAAACTTCAATGTAATTTAGTATATTATCAACTAAAAAAGAAAAACCATATGATCATTTCAACAGACACACAAAAAAGCATTTGACAAAATCAGCATCTATTTCTTTTAAAAACTCTCAGTAAATAGGAACAAAAAGGAACTGCCTCAACCTGATAAAAGGTATCTGCAAAAACCTATACAGGTTACCCCTGCTATCTGAAAGTAGAGTGTTCCTATGAAAGCTTTCATAAGCCAAAATGGCATAAAGCATGGAAGCAGTTGCCATTAATTTAATGAGAAAAACTGAGCATTCCCAGACCCAAAAAATAACCTACCAAATCACATAAAATAACACATACAACCCTTATAAGCTCTCTTGGGCTTTTCTGATACCTTCGGACACATCTTACTAATGGATGCACAAAATAAATCAGGATAAAGCATAGGTGCTCCCAGACACAGTCCAAAGCTATGGGAGCTTGACGCTGAGATTCTAAGTGTAGTTCCCAGGGAAGGAGGTTGGCCACACCACTTGTGCTGCTCAGGTTCCATGCTGCCTCCTTAATAGCTTGCTGCAAAACATGCTGAATGCTATTTCCATTTTTCAACTTTTTCATAGAAGTAAAAATCCTCCTCAGATTTTTTTCAGTTAGCAAAAACAGGTACTAACACAGGTCTTTTGTAAAAGTGAAATGGCATAAAGCGAGCTTTCAAAAAGCAGGGGATACCTGTAGTTGGTATCATACTTAATGCTTTCTGCCTAAAGTCAGGAATACAACAAAGATACCAGTTCAACACTTCTATTCAAATTTATATTGCATGTACTAGCCAGTGCAATAAGACAAGAAAAAGAGATAAAATGCATCCAGATTGGAAAGTAAGAAGTAAAAGTGCCTTTAATCACAAATGACATGATCATCTAAACAGGAAATCTAATAGAATAGATAAAAAATCCCTACCAGAACAATAAGTGAATTTAGCAAGTTTACAGGATACGTGATCAATTTTATTTCTATATGCTAGCAATGAACAATCAAAAATTAAATTCACGAAAACAATACCATGCACAATAGTATCCAAAAATATGAAATACTTAGGGATAAATCTGATGAAAGAAGTGATCATTGGAAAGTACAAAACTGTTGCAAGAAATTAAAGACTTAAGTAATTGAGAAATATATTGTGTTCACGGGTTGGAAGATTCAATGTTGTTTAGGATTTAATGTAATCCCAATCAAAATCCCAAAAGGCATTTCTGTAGAAAACCTTTTCACAAATGATACAGTGGAAAAGGACAGTCTTTCCAACAAGTGCTGCTGGAACAATTAGATATCCATATTCAGAAAATGAACTTTGCTCTATATCCTGTACCATATATAAAATTAACTCAAAATGGATCATAGACCTAAACATAAAACTTAAAATTATAAAGCCTCTAGAAGAAAATACAGGAGAGAACTTGTGTTCTAAAAGCACAATCCATAAAAGAATAATTTGAAACTGGGCTTCAAAATTTAAAACTTCTGCTCTTTGAAAGACACAAAAGAGTCTGTGAGAAAATTTTTTTAAATCACAAGTCCTTTGGGATGAAGGACTTGTATCTCAAGTATTGAAAGAACTCTTAAAACTCAATAATAAGAAAGCAAACAACCCAAATTTTTTAAATAGGCAAAAATTTTGAAGACATCTTGTGATGGTTAAGATTATGCGTCAACTTGGCTAGGCCATGATTCTCAGTGTTTATATGTGATCACTCCCATGATGGGATCTGCTGTGAGTAGTCAATCAGTTAAAAGGTATCTTCCTTGCAGGTGTGGCCTACATCCAAATATAAGCAGATGTTCTGGCTTTTTGCTCTCTCTGGATCCTGCAGCTGCCTCCTGTTCGTCGGACCTCTGGCTCTTGGGACTTGAGCTATCAGTTTATCTGCCGATCTTGGAATTCGTCCAGCTTCACCGCCTGTGAGCAGGAGCCCTGCTCTCTGACCTGCTGATCTTGGGTTCACCAGCTCCTGCAGCTGCATGAACCAAGAGAAGCCTTGCAGTCTTGCCTGCCAATCTTGGGATTCGTTGATCTTCACAGCCTGTGATAAAGAGCCCTGCTCTCCAACCTGCCAATCTTGGGTTCGCCAGCCCCTGCAGCTACATGAATCGGGAGAAGCCTCTACTCAGACTGGACTCGGGACATTCCAGCCTCTACAATCGTGTGAGCTGTTTCCTTGATATAAATCTCTCTATATATGTATTTATATGCTTTACTGGCTTTGGTTCTCTAGAGAACCCAGCCTAAGACACACCTCATCAAAAAAGATATACAGATTGCCAATAAGCACATAAAAAGATATTCAACACCATTAGGGAAATGCAAATTAAAACCACAATGAGATACCACTACCTATTAAAACAACTAAAATTAAAAAGATTGACCATACCTACTGTTGATGAGGATGTAGAGGAACTGCAAATTTCATACACTGCTAGTGGGAATGTGAAAAAGCAGAGCCCTTTTGGACAACAATTTGACAGTTAAATGTACTCCTATCATTTCTTGGTTATGGCTCAACAGAAATGAAAGCATACATCCATACAAAGGCTTACACAGAAATGTTCATAGCATTTCATAGAAACAGATGAATGGATAAACTGGTATAGCCATACAATGGATATAAAAAAGAATAAACAAAAAGGAATGAACTACTGACACATGCTGAATGAAATACCGACACAGATGAATCTCAAAATAATTATGCTGAGTAAAATTATCCATACAGAAAAGAGTACATACTGTATGATTCCATTTCCAAAAATTATTCCTAGCGAAGTAATCTACAGAGACGGAAAGCCAATCAATGATTGTCTGGAGACAGATACGTAAGGTGTAGGAAGGATAATGAATGTGTTCATTTTCTCGATTCCGGTGATAATTTCAAGGTGTATACATATGCCAAAACTTGTCAAAGTATACACTTGAACTATGATTAGTTTTTTAGATATCAATTTAAATCAATAAAACAGTTTAAAAAACTATCTCTGTTATTACTCTTAAAGCCCGTGGCTTTATAGATCTTTACTAAGCACAAGAGTGCTCTCCCCATATATTCTTTCGTAGCTGATGCCATAAATGGCTTCTGATGATAACACAGGGAGGTGGCACACAGGGTCCAGAGTACACATTCCTAGTAGAGTAAACAACTATTCTATTTCAATCCCATTATGAAAAGAAGATACTTTGCCTTTATAGATCAATTTATGAAAGATTTTCCACTCTAAACCAAAATCAGATATCCATCCTGATTAAATTATTTTACACCTTAGCCAAAGGGTCTATTTAGAGAGTTTAAAATAAAAATGATAGTTTTATTTGCCTTAAAAAAAAATAGCTAAAATTCAAGAAGGATTTAGACAATTCACTAAATTAAGAAAACAAACCTCTAAAGCTATCTGAGCCAGAAGAAAATTTTAGTCTAAGACCAACCCCCACACCACACACACACCAAAAAAGACTTGAATACTTCTGTTTAGTAATTGTGGTAAACAAAGAGCCAAAAACAAGAACATTCTTAATATCAATAAATATTTAAAGTTCTGACCATAGCATTTATACTTACAACATATATGAACGACTGAGTTTATATAATAATTGGAAAGAGAAAAGCCAAGCATCCTCACTTACCTATTTTGTTCCTCCAGTTTAGCCAGGAGTTCTAAGTCGTCTGGACTCAACTGTGATGGAGAAGATGGGGAAAGGGCTGGCGTTGATAGTGTGGTAGATGAGGATGTAGTATGTAATGAAGCAGATGGACTTGCCACCTGACTGGCCATCTGACTGACTGTGTGCGATACTGTGTTCTTCACCCATGTGAGAGTAGAACTCAGCTTTTCTGCAACCTTGTCTGACGCCACCTAAGGATAAAAATTAAAATTGCACATATTTTATTTTAGTTGTACTACATTTATTACCAAGGACTTGAGAATCCTGTTAAGTTTTACCTAACAGCCACAATCAGAATATTCTCTTCTTCCAAGTTAAAAAAGGTAAAACTCTGTTTTAGCAGCAGTTACCTAACATGCAGCTTGTGGAAACTGTTTATTTCAGTTCTGCATTATGAACAAACTAGAACAAGTTTTCCAAACTACAGGATGAAACCCATTGGTGGGTGATAAAATCAATTTAATCAGTAATATCAGCATTTTTTTAAATGAAATATAAAGAATAGAAAATATCAGAGTAAGGATTAGTTATTTTATGTCCAATTTTTGCTTCAGTTACATACATACATATTAAAAATATGCACAAGTATGCATATGTATGGGTATACTGAGTTGTGATGTAAGACGTATTATTTTATTGGGGTTGTAGTCAAAAACATTTCAAAGCTAAGGAATTAAAACATGTCCATTAGATGACTAGGACAGGGAAGTCCTGTAACATGGCTAACAACTGAACAAAAACCAGGTGTGTTTAGTATAAACAAGATGTAATGAGACCCTTAATATCTCTCTTCAAACCACTAAGGTGTTTTTTTATAGAAGAGGAACTACTTCCAGAGGAACAAAAATATAATAAATGGACTAAGGTAACAGAGTCCGAGTGATTCAAGGTAGAATTTTCAAATAGTTGGAGCTGTTCTACCAGAAAGAGTAGTAGTACATTCCCTACCGACGGCAATTATAACAGCCAAATGTCAAGAGTTACTCCAGGATGAGTTTCTGTTTTAGGTGGGCAACTAGGACAAGAAAAACCTTTAAGACCTTTAAGGCCCTTCCCAACTCTAAGATTCAATCAATTATACATATGTCCACATATTCCCCCACAAATCATGCCATACTCTTAAGCAGATATGTACACAATGAATTCAGCTGAAAGAGAAAACATACATAAATAATATTCACAAGGCATTACACTTCAGTAATGGAAAAACAATGTGAACAGTAACCATAACCGAATGCCTATGCAAAACTAAACATTTTTAATAATGTGAGTTTACAAAAAAAGGTATAACAAGTTTTTTAAGGGAGCCTGGGTGGCACAAGCGGTTTATGATCAGCTGCTAAACTAAAGGTTGGTGGTTTGAACCCACCAACTGACTCCACAGAAAAAAGGTCTGGAGAACTGTTCCATAAAGATAACAGACAAGAAAACTGTATGGAGTGGTTCTACTCTGTAACACACGGGGTCGCCACAAGTCAGGGGCCAACTCAACGGTATCTAACGACAACAATACTTCTTAAAAATTATCATAAGAAGAGCTTTTTGTGAAGTGCTTAGACATGTAAAGGCTATAAATAAACTATGAAGTGCTTTTACGTACTTTTAGAAGATCTTAAATTTTATGCAATAAGTAAATTGGTAAAGCACCATAAATTATTTTCTGAATCAACATATCCTCAGCTAACCTTGGTTTAAACATCACAGTTCATACACGCCCCCCCGCCACAAACACACACAAATTAACACACTAATACATACACCCAAATAAAAATACTATCCAGACTTCTGGTAGCAGATGCTAACCTCTCATGGGTTGTCCAACGCTTTCCTCCTCACCTCAGTAAATACATGGCTCTTTATCCCTCTGCCCCTGCTTTGTTGACCTCAACCAGGCGGATTTGATGTAGAGAAAGAATAAAATGGAAAAGGAATTCTAAGGACATAGTTAAGTCACTACACATGAGGAAGGAACTTGTAAAGAGACAAGAATTCAATTACAAGTGCTGAATAAGGGCAAGATACTCCTTCGCTTTTTCATTTTCAGTAACTTCTCCCTTTTAGATCTTCTTTTGGGAATAGTATTACAGAAGGGACCAGGGGGCTCTTATTGTTGAGGGAAGAGGCACAAACCCCAAGAAAGACAAACAGGATGAAGTATGGGGCCCAAAGAAAGGAAGCATCAAGCAAGTCATTTAGGCCTGCTTCCAGGCAAAAGAAGTCCTTTTTACCAGCTCACAGACCACCACTGTACATCAGGGCAAAAGACTAGACACAGGCACCAAAGAATAATTTCAACAAAATTTTCTTTGTGCCAGAAAATGGTCGGAGCCCTGTGGGCAGCAACATAGCCTAGTGTCATTTGTTATGCAGTTGATCTTCCCTACAGAGATAGAACTACAAACTCAGTTGTGAAGAGAACACCAATTTACATCCTAAAAGCACACTATAATATTTAAAAACAGAAAATCTAAACTGTAAAATTTTATAGAAAAATGTTATATTTTACTAATACCAACCATTAAATTTAAATACACTTACAACTTTCAAGAATTAACACTTCACATTTCTAATATATAAAAGTCTCCTAAAAAAAAAAACAAAAACAAAAAACAACAAACCAAACCTGTTGTGGTCAAGTTGATTCCAACTCCTAGCGATCCTATAGGACAGAGGAGAACTGTCCCATAAGGTTTCCAAGGAGTGGATGATGGATTCGAACTGCTGACCTTTTGGTCTGCGGACAAACGCTTAACTTCTGTGCCACCAGGGCCCCAAAAATCCCCTATTCAATTTAGTTGCTGCAAAGCAAAGAACATCACTTATTTAATTTATTAAAACACATGTATCATACCCCTTCTGCACAGTGTTGCAATAGGCTTCCATCGAAAGAGTTTGAGATAACCAGGAGCACAATTCTGACAACCTTTCAACCTTGCTGAAATGTGACTCAGTGATGTTAAAAACAATCCATCTTCAGACTTTAAATTCTTAAATATAGCTGGAATGTTTAATTGCCACTGCACCTGAATAAAGTTTAATGCTCATGGTTCTAGAAATTCCACAAGACTAAATTATTTTTTATATATCATCATGTCCTATTTGTCTTTTAACTCTATTCTTCCAAACTTCTACCCTGCTGCCTCTGAACTTCTTCTTCTCATCCTGTGGTTAAGTTGAGGCCATGAAGACATAATAAATCTGTCAATACAACTATGTCACAAAGTTCCTGTCTACCTCATAGAGGTGTTACACATCTATTTTTGAAAGTGAACATACTCTGAAAAGGTTAAAACCATCATTAAAATGGCTTAGTAATCAGACACAAAAGGCCACATATGTATGATTTCATTCATATGAAATGTCCAGAATAGGCAAATTATAGAGATAGAAAGTAGATTAGTGGTTGCCAGGGGATAGAGAGAGGGGGGATAGGGAGTGACTGCTAAAGGGTACAGGGTTTCTTTTTGAGGTGATGAAAATGTTCTCGAATTAGAGTGTGGTGATGGTTGTACAGCTTGTGAATATACTAAATGCCACTGAGTTATACACTTTAAGGGGTGAATCTCAGCATATATGAATTATATCTCAATTTTAAAAAGGCTTAGTAACAGCAGATATTACTACAATGTTTGAATAGGCTCTCCCATTAGAAACATTAATGGCTATTACATCACTTCATATTTTATTAAAACTTACAAGGATGCTTTTGACTCTCAAAAAAGGACTATTTTTAAAGATTCCAATCTAACACCCAAAATCACGGGGAGAAAAAGCCACAGCTATGATTACTTCCTAAATCATATTGTGACGTTGGATCCCATTCCTAGGGCATGATGTTCCCTCTGGGTCAAGGGCATTTTGTGGCTGAAGAGGCAGCATGAGTATGAGTTCCTGTGCTATGACAGGGAGTCAAAAGCCCACTAGGTCTTCACATGTCAAAAGTCAAATTCCTAAAGTATTGGCACTACACATTTCACAGTATAAACATTTTAGTTGCATACTGGTATGGATTGAACTGTGTTCCCCAAAAATGTGTGTCAACTTGGCTAGGCCATAATTCCCAGTACTGTGTGATTATTCACCATTTTACCATTTGATGTGATTTTCCTATGTGTGGTAAATCCTACCTCTAAAGCTGACATTCATGAGGCACTGCCAGTCACATCTCGTTTTCCTTCCTTAGATGAACAGACCAACAGCAGCACACAGGTCATGATCTTGGCTTCATTTTTTACTGGGCTCACTTCTGAGTGTCAGACATACATACAAACATCTAATCAACTAATATTTACTGAGCATTTACTTTGCATAAGTCATTACGCAAAGCATGGGTAATTGTTCCAGTTGAAGACAGTCCCTTTCCCTGTCATTATTCCTGTATTTCATATATCCCTGTGGTAAAGTACCTAAAATAGTACTTCCGTGACTCCCTATACCCTTGTCTTACTTTATTTTTCTTCAAAACATAATGTAAGGTAGTGATGACTGCTATTTATCCTTCGGCATATTTATTGTTTGGCAGGCTTGGACTTACTACTGAGAGCTAGTATATCAGTTTCCACATGGTATGATTTTGGGGACTTTGAAGTGAAATTCTGACCATCCTTCTGTGCTTAGATTAAGCTCTACATTAGATGTTTAACTCCACTGTATAGAAGGAGCCCTGGTGGCACAATGGTTAAGTGCTCCGCTGTTAACCGAAAGGTTTGAACCCACCAGTGGCTCCATGGGAGAAAGACCTGGTGATGTGGTAGTCTGTTTCCATAAAGATTACATCCTGGGAAATCCTATGGAGCAGTTCTATTCTGTCCTATAGGGTCACTCTGAGTTGGAATTGACTCCATGCACACAACAGCAACAACAACCACTATGTGGTACTACAGAGGTGAAAGAAACAAAGTTTCAAAGAGGAGGGTGGAAAAGATCACTAAACACTTTCTGAGCATTTAAGTTGTGTTAGGCACTGTTCTAAGCACGTTATATGTATGAACTGATTTAACTGTCAAAACGCTATCAAGTAAGTATCACTATTTTCCCTGTTCACAATCGAGGAAATGATAACACAGAGAAGTTAAACAACTTGCAGAAGGTCAAAAAGTTAATAAGTATCAAATGTAGGCAGTTTGGCTTAAGATTCTTTGCTCTTAACCACTATCAAGAGTGAGTAAGACCAAATATTTGCAATGGATAT